AAAAAAAAGTGCAATCAGACAGAGCCTTTAAGAGAACCTGCTCCTGAAGGAAAGAAAAAGAAAAACTACAAAAACCACAGGCGGCCACAACACTGGTAGTCAGGAAAATAAATGAACCGGCATCTCAGAAATGTGCAGCAACTGTAAAGAGGCTTAAAGAGGTGTGTGTGTGTGTGTGTGTGTTGCCCAGACCAGAAACAGTGTGATGAACAGAGCTAATGATACAGACTGTGTCATTCCAGCTGGACATCCCTGAAAGGTCCCCAGGGAGGTTCTTCTTGTCTGGTCTGGGAACTCTACTTTGCCTGATTGGCTATTTGATGTGAAATAGCTGTTAATGCCTACAACAGGATGCTTCCTGATTTTTTTCAGAGCTGTAAACCCACCAAATAGGTTGGTCCCCAGAAATCATAGCCTGGTCCTGTGTCCCTACAATATATTAAAGACAAGGATAGGTGTTTGTGTGTGTGTGTGTGTTTGCCCAGACCAGAAACAGTGTGATGAACAGAGCTAATGATACAGACTGTGTCATTCCAGCTGGCCAGCCCTGAAAAGTCCCCAGGAAGGTTTTCTTCTTGTCTGGTCTGGGAACTCGGCTTTGCCTGATTGGCTATTCGATGTGAAATAGCTGTAAATGCTTTATTCAGAGCTGTAAGCCCACCGAAACCCACCAAAAAGGTTGGTCCCCAGAAAGCATGGCCTGGTGCTGCGTCCCTACAGTATATTAAAGACAAGGGTAGGTGTGTGTGTGTGATCTTAAACACTCTGCTCAGGTTTCACACAGATTGTGTGTGTATGCATACAGAGGGACCACTGGCCAACCTCCAGACATTTCTGGATGGCCTTGTGGTTTCTGTGGTCGTTTTCCTTGGTTCTGGGGTGACTGCTGGTGTACTGGGTTTCTGGGCGCTCTTTGCCTTCTTCAGAGCACAGTGAAAGACTCCCCCCCCCCTCCCCATAGCTGTAGGGCCACCCAGTCTAAGACACTACTCTGCCAGATTGAAGACATTTTGTAATGTCTCCTTGGATTAGATGTTTGACCCATGTTTTAGCTATCCTTGCATTTGACCCATTTTTTTACCTATCCAGTATCTATTCTCTGAGAGGCCACAAGTTAGCTTAGTAAAAAAACAGAACAGAAAGGAAATATAGGGCTAAATAAGTGTGTGAATCAATAATGTTATGCTCACTGTAAAGTTTATTTCGAGAAAGGATCACACAGAAAAGACAGAAAGTGAAAAACTTAGAAGTACAAATATGTGATGTGATTTACTTTCTCCTTGTGCCCCTAGATTAGGTGATTCTGTGACTTTTCTACAATATTTTGGTCTT